GATTTGGAGATATTCTGTTAAATTACAAGCAAAGAGTATAATGGATACACTGAGAGAAAGTTCCATATTTATTCAGAGAAAAATTATAGCTCCTGGGATGTGATACAATTTCAAGTTACAGATTGGCCTACAGATGGAATTGTTAGAGAGCCGCATACTATCCTACAAGTTATTGATGATGTTATACACAGACAACAAAAGATTGGAGGAGGACCAGTAGTGGTACACTGTAGGTAAGAGAGAGAGTTATACTGATAGACTCATGATCATTTATTGTTTGTGTGTGTGTGTTTGTGTGTAGTGATACAGTGAGTCGTTCAGGAGTCTATTGCTCAGTGAGTATTGCTCTAGAACAGTGTAAAGCAGAAGGTGTAGTGGATGTGTTTCAAGTGACCAAAGCTATAAGAAGGAGTAAACCAGGAGCTGTTACTACACTGGTATAGCTATACTACATATATCATTGTGTATTAATCACAATTGTTTTATTACAGGAGCAGTATACTTCCATATATGATGTGATTGATATGTACTTCAAACTGCATAGCACATATGCTAACTTTTAGTAGATATAGCAGACTATTATTGTCTATAATGTACCATGATTGCTGACATTATAAACGTATTTGTAGAAATTATTGTTATCATATGTTATGTTTGCAGTATTTGTATATGCCAAACAGTTAACAGTTGTTATTGTATTTAAAAGTATAGTTTATACGTCAACAATGAGAAAGACATTCTTAAGAATTCATGATGAAGCATGTTTGATATGTACTAGGTCTATACTAGCTATAACAGTATGTGCAGGCTTTAGTAAACACGAATAATTTTTTCTAATGTTTACTTACATGTATTATGCTTACTTGTGATTGTGCTTATCAGAAATGTATATGTGTATACCAGTATGTATTTTCAATGTAATATAACCAATGGTAATCAGGAAGCTTTTGGTGTACTTTATGTGTAAGCAACAATGGATTAAGCTTTTACTTACACGCATGTTAGCTTTCATAATTCATTTGATCTTTTTGATAACATACTGTATTATTTGGTTACTTTAATTGATTGAGCATTGAGGAGTTTTAATCCATGAATTGTATACCGTAGAGCGCTTTATTTTGGCAGCGCTTTATTTTGGTGATTTTGCTGTAAAATTATGATTGGCAGTTTTTAATTTGGCGATTTTTGTGCACTAATGATTGGCGGTTTGCCAATCATTAGTGCACTAATGATTGGCGGTTTTCTGCTTGCAAATCGCCAATTGCCAAAATAAAACTTGACAAATTAAAACGCCATACGGTAAGTTATACCAGTTATGAGTATGCATCACATTCACATCTTGCATACATGAATAGACCACTACACTGTCCATATCATATCTTGGAGTTATCATAATAGCATTGCACTTAACAAAATTTAGTAGTGAAATAGTATAATAAATAGAACCATCATGATAGATTGTGAGATATATTGGCAATATGCTTGTCTTAACTTACCATTTAGTTGTAGCCATTGTCATTATATCCTAACTGTTTGTCGACAACATGACGTGTTTAATTTACTTTCCTATTGTGTAACCATGTCTTGTTTTTATAACACACTTGTTATATATTTATTCTTCTTGTGTAATATTTACTTTGTTAATGGGCTATCGATGATATTGTTATCTTTCTTATTTTAGTAGAAAGGAAAACAATAATATTCACATTCATCAGTTATAGACAAAATGACAGAGTCAGTGCTAGTTGTTGTGACTGCTGTTTTGTTGTTGAGTGTCAGTGAAGTTATTACTGACTGTCCACCTTCATCAGGTAAGACACTAGATGTGTATATTAACAACTGTATAGGTTTTTATAGGTATCTACCTGAGGCATAGTGGAAACTGTTTTTTTAATGGATCATATTTTACTGACAGCAGTATCAGATCATCAGCAACTTCTTTACGCTTAGAGTGTGGATTACCTGGTGAGACTCTGAGTACTGGGCAATGGATTGGTCCTGATGGAGAAGTTCCTTGTGGCAGTGGTAACAAACATAATGTTCAATGTACCACTGGGTCAGGTGCTAGCCTCAGTATTCACATAAATCCAGCTAATGGCTATCTTGGGGCAGATGGTGATGGCCAGTATATGTGTTGTCTACCCACTAGTTGTTCAACTTCTGGTACTAACATCATTACTGCTACTATATTCAGTAAGAGGAGCTATAATCACTTACTGATGTAATAATTTTCATTTGTAGGATATTCAGAAATAGAATCATTTGCTGTTGCTGATCTTCCTTCTGATATGACAGTATATCCTCAGGAATACAAACTGAGTTGCACTAAAATTGGATTCCCTGAGTATGGTATTAGTATGAGCATTGGTGCTACTGCATTGGCTAGTTACACCAACTGTCATGATATAAATAATAATAATTGTCCTGGTACTACTGATTCAAGTGCTCCTGTTGATAACACAGTAAGATATACTGTTAATATCACATGGAATGGAGTGACTGTCAGTAGTGGATCAATCAGTCAATCAGCCACTGGAGATCAATCCTATCAGTGTGTACTGGATAATCCTAGTGGTGGTGATGATAGAACACGTACTTTAACCATAAAAGGTAAGATTGTATTGACACTTTGTCCAATTTTTTTCTGCTGTAATAGTACCAGCAAATACTCCCTCTTCTTTTAATGAGGTTAACAAGACAGCTACCACTATCACTGTCAGTTGGACTGCACTTGATTCATCTGATGCTGATGGATATGTAGTCAATATCACTAGTGATACAGACACTGTGCAGACAGTACAGGTGGAGGGTAGTAATAATAATACAATCACACTGAATGGACTGAGAGGAGGAACAACTTATAGCATCACAGTCAGAGCATATCAGCAATTACTGGGACCTGCTAGTAGTACAATCAGTGTACAGACCTTACCAGGTATTGCTACTGCACCTTTTAATGTACTTGTAACATTGTTGATGTATTTCTAGTTATTAATTCAATCAATTGGACACTAGTCTCATCCAATACACAACTCAATAACACTCAATATCGTATTGATTGTCTCACAACTACTGATATAAACCCTTCAACTGATGTTTACTGGTTAGTGAATGGAGTGATGAAAAGTAACTCAATGGCTACATCAATTGATGCTCTGACATACAACAACACACTACTGGTATATCCTGATCCACTGGGAGTGTCAGTTAATGTTACCTGTATAGCAATGATTGGAGGAGTCAACTACAGTCAATCTGTGATTTTACTTGGTATGATTATACTTTAATCAATAGTAGATACCTTTGTCTCTTCTCTAGCTCCTAGTGGTCCTCCAAATAATGTGAGAGGGTTTATATTAAATACAACTAGTATCAAAGTAAACTGGACCACTTCATCAGAAACTAATGGATATGTGATTGAGTATACTACTGGAAGTGTAACCAGGAATGTAATATCTACCAGTGAAGGTGAAATTGTACTAACAGATCTCTCACCAATGAGTACCTATACCATCAGTGTGTACTCATATACAGATCTTCTTTCAGTTAATAGTACAACAGTGTTAAGATTTGATAGTAAGTTAATTATTATCATTTAAAGTGTGTAATTAATATCTGTTCTAGTTCCTAGTCCAGTAATTAGTCTCTCAGTATCTAATGTCTCAACTACTGGTATTACAGTGAACTGGACTATTCCTAGTAGTAACAACTATGTAACATACTACACCATCTCCTATACTCCATCTTGTCCCCAGTTGTCATCAGTAAATGAGACAGTCTTTGTTGCTCCTCATCAGTCCACTACAACATACAGTTATACATTAATAGGTCTGTACAGTGGTATTAACTATACCATCACAGTGAGAACTGGTAATGTACTAGGAGGATCTAATTCTATGTCAGTTAAAAAAGATACAATATCAACAGGTCTGGTACAACCTTCATTTGAATTAATTATTATGTAATATTTATAGCTCCTACTGGTGTACCTACTTCTTTGTCTTTATTACAACCAATTAATAATCTCACTTGGAATGAGGTCAATTGCTCTAAACGTAATGGTGTAATCACAGGCTATACAGTGATGATCAGTAATAGTAGTATCACATATAG